ACATGTCTGGCAACGTCGCGTGACACGGGTCCACAACGACATTGATGTTTGTGTATTCGAAATTCAAATCGTTTATTGCGAATATATGTCAAGTGTTTTTTTTTAACTGTCAAACACCGCGAGGACACCGGTGACCGCAACCTATTGTTCTATTGTGTCTATAATGACGGTACTCAAAAGTTTTTTTTTTTAACGGGGGAAAATCATCGAATTACTGCTCCCGCCTTAGCCTCCGGGCCACCACGACACTTTATATTAACTTATTCTAGAATACTACAATTTTTTTTTGTTTTTTTAAGTCATTATATAAATAACTAAGTATTTATCATTAAAAACTGTCATTGCATTATGTATGTACATACATACATTTATTAGCAGTAATTTTGAATTTAAACCTTTTTTCAGGTTTAATAGAGCCCAAAACCGTACGATAAAATGCTTTTAAAATTCATAGTTTCAATGAATTAGAATTAATACGTAGATAATATGCTAAAACTACGGTTTAGTCTTGTTCAGTACATATTTCGATAATGTTGTGTGTGCTTACATTTCTCGCATTCCTGACTGGCTCGGTAAGTTGATAAAAATATTACTTTTGGAATAAGTCGACGGATCACCTGATGGTAAGCAATCGGCGTCGCCCATGGACACTCGAAACACTAGAGGCGTTACAAGTCCGTTCTTCCCGACCTCTTGGGGGTTAGGAATTAGGGAAGTAATTGGGCCTTCGGTAATCTCACTCACACGACGAAACATAATGCAAGCGTTGTTTCACGTATATTTTCTGCTCGGCCGTGGTATCACTCCGGTCGAGCCGGCCCATTCCGTCCGAAGCATGGCTCTCCGATACTTAAAAAACAAGTCATTGGTGAGGCCTATGTTCAGCCGTAGACGGCTTGTGGCTGGTATGATGATTATAGCCAAGAAGTTTCCTATAAACTGCGTCGGGACCATTACTTACCACTTTTGCTACACGCATTTTTAAAAGGAGACAATCATTCAGTTACTTCTCCCGTCTTAGGTGAGACGAGAGGGAGTGTCCAGACTCTTACTAATAGTCAAATAGTCAATAGTCAAAATCATTTTTTTCAATTAGACCAGAAAGGCACTTTTTAACGTCAACAACAAAATTAAAAGTGAAGCTATTTGCTCATTCCAATGTGTAGATTCCTATGGAGAAGAACGAGCAAGTAACTTCATAGGTTACTCTTTTTCAATCAGGTTCACAATACAATTTACTAGTTACATAATTTTGCTGTTTGGATTGTGCGAGAACAATGTAACACTAAAATCTAGTCAAAATGATCGAAAAAGAAAATAACCTTAAAGACAATAAATAATAGTTTGGAGCTGACCAGTCCCAGTTGACGGCGCCCGCACCCCCCAACTCAACCATATAGGTAGTAGGGAATCGAGCGATCCACTGCATGCGCCACCGCCAATGAGACCTTTGAGTGAGCATGACAACTCCAAGCTGACACAAAAGCATTCTACTAGTAAACTAACTAAAAACTACCCTGGTCCTGCTCCTATTTATTTATTTAAACTTTATTGCATATACGCCGTGAAATGGGCGGACTTAATGCCGTAGGTATTGACAGTCGACCATTGGGTGCTGCAGAATATTAAAGCGGTAGGTGCAAAATTATAGTAAAGAAAGTATGAAGTCGATAACAAAAGTTAAGGATATAAAATATTAAAGAAAGACATGATTGTTATAATCAATAATCAAAGTCAAAGTCAAAGTCAAAATCATTTATTTCAATTACGCCAGAATGGCACTTTTGAACGTCAACAAAAAAAAATTAAAAGTGAAGCTAGTTGCTCATTCCAAGGTGTAAATTCCTATGGAGAAGAACGAGCAAGAAACTCCATAGGTTACTCTTTTTCAATCAGGTTCACAATACAATTTACTAGTTACATAATTTTGCTGTTTGGATTGTGCGAGAACAATGTAACACTAAAATCCAGTCAAAGTGACAATACATTACTAAGGAAGGTATACTTACAATAAATTGTATAATAAATATTATATATCCTAAATATGAAGACATACAATATGATATAAATACCATATAATACATAGAAAGTGAGCATTCTATTCGAGCCGGAGCCCTGGCAAACCTTTAAGTCTTCCGCGGCATCGCATCGGGCATCAGCCCTACTGGAACCCTTGCCCTGTGATGGTCTGACGGCTCTTTAAGCCGCGTTGAGCGCTATTAGGAGTGAAGGTAAACTCATAAACCGAACTCAAGTTCATTACCAAGAATAAAATACAGATAAATAAATTAAAAGAAATTTATCTTGAATTGAATTTCTATGCAAATTGAATTTTCCATAATAACTAGAAAGGGGTCATTGCCTTCTGTTTTCTATTTAAAGTAATAATTCTAAATTGCTTAAAACTTTATTTTTTTAAAGGTTTTTATACCTACTGTTATCTAAGCATCATAAATAATCCCGATACGGAGTCGCGGAAGGCCTAACGGGTTGCCGGGGCTCCGGCTCGAAGAGCAGGAGTAGGAACGGGGTGGGCTTTAGTCAGTAAGAGTCTGACACTCTCTCTCGCCTCACACAGGCGGGAGAAGGTATTGGTTTATTTCCCCCCTCAAAACAAAGCCAACTACAACTAGTGCATTTTGATTTTATCGCGTTCATACAGAGAGATAGACGCTAAAGGAGACCTCTTTTTACCAACTTCAAAAAAGAAGGAGGTACTATATTCGGCTGATTGTTTTTTTTTCGTATACTCTCGAAAGGGTCCCATGTCCATGAGGTCGGGATCTGATGTTGGGATCTTAAGGAAACCGCGGCGAACTTTCGAAAATTGTATGGGCGAGTAATGCGTCTATTTAGTACCTACTAATTCTTTAGCTTTTAGTTTGTTTGTTTTTAGTTTCGGGTTTTTCAAGTTGGTTTTTTAACTCGTCGAGTACCGGTTTTGTAGACACAATTATAGAACAATAGGTTGCGGTCACCGGTCACCGCTTGGTGTTTGACAGTTTAAACGCAGGTTTTATTTTTATAGTGTTATTTTTAATCAACCGACTTCAAAAAAAGGAAGAGGTTCTTAATTGGACTGTATTTTTTTTTATGTTTGTTTCCTGATTACTCGAAGACGCCTGGACCGATTTCAAAAATTATTTTTTTGTTTGAAAGGGTATGTTTTTGTTTCAGTTATGTGACGACTCAGATGGCGGTGTGGCATTCAGGATCCCATTGAACGATGGTAACGCTATACCGGCTTTGGGATTCGGCACCTTCCTAGGTTTGGACGAGGTAAGATATTTTGGACAGTCACTTAGTGCCTCGTTGTCCGAAACGGGGAAAATATTATTGGGTTTTAAAAAAAATCTCCGTAGTACCATGGAGTCTGGAATTGTGCCCGGTATATGGCAATAGGCTCACCCCCTATTGCATAGGGATTCATAACATAAATAGTGGGTGTTACATTGTGCAGTGGCACTCAGTGCCGTGGCCGTAATGTACACCTCTGCCTACCCCTTCGGGGATAAAAGGCGTGATGTTATGTCATGTCATTTACTTACTTTAATTAATGTTCATAAACATGTTTCGGTAGCACGCTAACTAATGAACGAATAGTCGAAATTTGATGCGATTTTGTTTTATCCTTCTAGAATGGAATGAGACCACCCGGGGATCATGAAGCTGAGTATCCTGTTAAATGGGCTTTAGAAGCTGGATACAGGTAAATATTGAATCTATATAAATTAAAAATAATTTCCATTCGTTAGTCTCGCTAAACCTCGAGAACGGCTGGACCGATTTGGATAACTTTCGTCTTGAAATGATCGTGGAAGTCCAGGGAAGGTTCCAAATGTGAGAAAAGGTTTTTAGGTCGTACGATGTTTGTCTGATCAGCTTGTTCCTTATAGATACCATAACATAGACGTAACATCAAGAATCTTCATCCCTGAAGGGTCCACAGAAGAGCACAGATGTATGTAGTTACTTATACAGCTGAGTAATATACAAAAATTCCTAATTATACTTGAACACAAAAAAACCAATTGGTTTTGAATAAAGAATTCTTTTTATTACTTAACTAGCTACTTCCGCGCGGTTTCACACACTCTGCTCAGCGCCTATTGGTCGTAGCGTGATGTTTTATAGCCTATAGCCATCCTCGATAAATGCGCTATCCAACACAAAAAATATTATTCAAATCAGACTTGTAGTTACGGAGATTAGCGCGTTTAAACAAACTCTTCCGCTTTATATAATAGTACCTCTATAATATTAATTGTTTCTGTGATGCTATATTTCATCAGACTCCTGGACACAGCAGTAACCTACCAAACGGAAGGTCAGGTCGGCAGCGCATGGAGAGCTTCTGGCATACCTAGGGAAGACGTGTTCATCGTTACTAAGGTAAATACTCACTATGTATGTGTGGGACAAGCTCACCACAACCTCCCAAAACCGCTGCAACTCCTGTAAGCCAGGATCTACAGTAGATACAACCATGAAAACACCGGAACACTGAATTCCGGCGCGTCCCAGGGACAGGAATAACTGTAAAAATCGCGGGTTACTCACGTGAATATACTGAGAAAAGCACTACTAGTTTCGAACTACAGAGTCAGTCTCCACGTCGCGTGTCGCGGAATGCTGCTCATGAATATGAGCCTCTAGCATGGCTTGAAACTAGTCGAGTTCCTCGTCAAACAGTTACATGATTAGGTCGAAAACATAGTAATCAATCCAAATATTGTTGTTTATAACTGTTCAAATTCAAATTTGTTTATTAATTTTTTTTTTATTCTCCTTCATTGTTTTTAGCGTGTTTCTGTCCATATGAATACGTCAACCCAATCGTACCTTATCTAATTAAATAATAATATAGGTACTATATGTAAATGAAAGAGGTCATTAACTCTATGTAAAAGAGTAACCTATGGAGTTTCTTGCTCGTTCTTCTACATAGGAATCTGTGAAACAAGTGAAACAAGTGAATTTATTTCTGCAAATAGGCTACAAGGCAGCACTTTTACACGTCAATTTTATCAAGCGAACGATGAGGTCGACATTTCCTAACTGACTACTGAGAAGAAATGCCGAAACAAACTCAGAAGTCTGTCTCTTTTAAAGTCCAGACAATATATATAATAGATTATGTGTGAGAACCGTGCAAGTTCTTTCTGTAGTGGCCTTTTGAGGAAAGAACCACAACAGTTTGAGCGGACCCGTTCTGAAGGCAGTTAGCTCAATTAACAGGTGAGGCTGACTGATTCGACGAACAATACCAACCTAAAGAACATTTGCGTGGGTCGCACAAATACTCAAACTGTCAGAATATGGGTAATTAGAAAAGAAATCTACACCTTGGAATGAGCAACTAGCTTCACTTCTAAATTTTTTTTGTTGTTGACGTTCAAAAGTGCCTTCCTGGTCTAATTGAAATAAATGATTTTGACTTTGACTTTGGGTCTATATTTCAGAAAAGTTATGTCACCCTCACCAGTTCACACAACCCTTTTGCAATCTTCGTTTAATATAATTTGAACTAGCCCAACATCTAATTTATTCAACTTACCTATATTTTCTAATTAATAATTATTTAATTGTAAACATAGGTAACATGAAGGTCTTAAATAACATATTTAAACGCTATGTTAGTATTCGTCAGCGTACAAAATTACAATATAGTTGAAAAAAAATAATGAGATAATTTGGATTCATTATTATTAGGTAGTACTATTATTAGGATTAATTACTATTAACAATAGAATAGGGTAGATGCCTAATTTTTATTTTAATGTCCGTCTGGTAGATTAGGTATTATAAATTAATAAACACGTATTTTTTATTTTCTTACGGAAACGAATACTTTCGACGATATATTGATTTGAAATGTCGCGTGACGTCACTTTTATATGTATGTTTTATACGTAGAAATGACATTTTAGCCCCCACTCCTAAACTTTGATCTAAGAATTGTTTTATTATACGACAAAATAAAAAAATACGTGTCTAATATTTTTAATTACCTACCTAACTTACGGACTAATTCGATTTTGAATCGTCCTACCCTGTCATCATGGAATGGCAGCAACGACTGTCGCAACCGAGGGCTGGGCTCGCTGCCATCGCAGCGGTAAGTCCCCTCTTTGAGGAGTGGCTTGAGAGACGCTACGGCGTCCTCACCTACCGCCTGACGCAGGTCCTCACCGGACATGGCAGTTTCGGGAGGTACCTGTGTCTGATGGGGCGGGAGGAAACGCCCGGGTGTCATCACTGCGAGGACCGCCCTGAGGACACGGTGGAACACACGGTGGGAGAATGCCCTTCGTGGGCTGAGCACCGCCGTGTCCTCAGGGAAGTGATCGGCGATGGCGACCTCTCGCGTCCGGGCCTAGTGCAGGCCATGATGCGGAGCGAGGGGGATTGGGATGCCGTCTCCTCCTTTTGCGAAGCAGTCATGCTAGCTAAGGAGGAGGCGGGACGCGTGAGGCAGCGAAGCGCTGCCTCCTCGCAACCCAGCCATCGCGAAGGACACACCGGGCGTCGGGGATCGCGGGACGATCTCCGGCCACCGTAAGCGCGGGCCTGCGGACGGCGAGCATGGGTGGCTCCCCGTCCGACCAGAAACAGACCCGAGCGTACGGCGCGTCGCGTTCCGCGCGCGCCTCAAAGAGCCATCAGACCACCACAGATGGGGCCCAATAGGGCCGATGCCGATTCGGAGTCGCGGAGAACCTAACGGGTAACCGGGGCTCCGGCTCGACGTGCAGGAGAAGGAACGGGGTGGTTTTTAGTCAGTAAGAGTCTGACACTCCCTCCCGCCTCACCCAGGCGGGAGCAGTCATTCGATGATTTTCCCCCCTTAAAAAAAAAAAAAAAAAACCTGTCATCATCCCAATTATAAATTATTATTACACATAAAATTATACATTTGAAAGGATCGGTTCTACAGTCATTCTCTTTATTTCAGCTTTCGACCTCAGAATCCAGAAATGTGGTGGCATCTCTCAGAGGCTCGCTGGCTCGACTCAACATGTCCTATGTGGACCTCTACCTCATACACAGCACTATTACTATAAAGGTATGTATGTATGTATGACTGCCTCGTTGGTCGAATGGTCGCAAGTACATCATCTTTTCTCTATTCATGGTATGAGTCTTATGTAATAGGGGGTGAGCCTATTGCCATGTATCGGGTACAATTCCAGACTCCGTGCTACTATTGATAATCTAAAAAAAAACAATAATACTTTGCCTGACCCGGGAATCGATCCCGATTAGATTAGATTAGATTAGATATGTATTGTCCATATTAAACTAAGTGTCAACAATTATATGAATTATGATTATGCGATATAAACAATCTGTTGCGTAGACTAAAGAACTAATTTAATTAAAAATGATTACTGATTTCATGTATAGATTTCGAATTTTTTGATCAGATTAGAATTTTAATCAATGCGCTGACCGTAGGCACAGTTGTTTGTCCAGCAGTTTCACTGATTACTTATTTTGTTTGTCGTAGTTAAATCGTTCTATTTGACAAATTGTCAACTGTCTAAAAATATCACATGGTTCATAGATTCGTTAACAACACGTTCGCATCTGTAGCTTGGAAATCTGTCGTCCCTATCTCGCCTAGTGCTAAGCGATGATGCGGCTTTTGATGGCGCACCACCCCGTTTCTACTCCTGGTCTTGGAGCCGGAGCCCCGACAACCCGTTAGGCCTCCGCGGCTCCGTATCGAGCATCAACTTAACTGGGTGTCTGTGGTGGTCGGATGACTATTTTAAGCATCGCGTCCCGTTCCGCGCACGCCCTTACGCACTGGTCTGGTTCTGGTCGGGCGGCGAGCTACCCCTGGTCGCCGTCCGCAGATCATCACTTACGGTGGCCGGAGATCATCACGCAATCTCCGACGCCCAGAATGTCTCCTACGACGGCTGGTGCGTGAGGGGACTCGTTCCCTCACGCGACCCACCTCCCCCTTAACTAACATAACTGTTACGCAGAAAGAGGAGAAAACATCCCAGTTCCTCTCGATCCGCACCATGGTCTGAACCAGTGTCGGACGACGATCGCCGTCGCCGACCACATCCCTGAGGACACGGCGGTGCTCAGCCCTCGCAGGGTACACCGCCACCGTATGCTACACCGTGTCCTCCGGGCGGCCCTCGCTGTGATGACACCCGGGCGTTTCCTCCCGCCCAAATTGTCCCATATTGTACCCTTTGCTTTACGCAGACGCTCAGCTTTTTTTAAGAAATTTTCCCTAAAACCTTATTGGACCAACTGCCTGCGACATTGCAAATCACATTACAATAGTAATCCCACATCAAAAATACGCCGATTTCGATAGAAATATTAATGCTCTAATTAATTATAGAGATTACCGTCTAATTGCATTATCTACAAATAATGACATGTCTCTATATTTTTTAATTTTTACTCAGTTATCTAAGTATTACAATAGTCACGTTGGAAATTAGATATTTTATTTGTGAGTTACGTGAGCTGATGAAATCAATTACATTTAATTTTCCTTAAATGACGTTAAGGTCTTATGTTATATAGAAATGACAACATAACATCACGCCTTTTATCCCTGAATAGGTAGGCAGAGGTGCACATTATACCACTGTACAATGTAACACTCACTTTTAACTATTTATGCTATGAGTCAGCAGAAGTCAGTGAGTATTGCCATATATCAGACACAATTCCAGACTCCGTGCTTCTATTCAGATTTTTTTTAAAACCCAGTTATACTTTCCACGACTCGGGATCGAACCCGAGACTCCTAGCACTTGCGACCACTCGACCAACAAGGCAGTCTCAGTCAGTCAGAAATGACAAAATTGTTAGAAATTTTAACTTTGAGTATCAGATCGGAAAATATCGATATCAAAAACAGATCCAGAGCTTGTTGTGTTCCAGATTGTTGATGTTCCAGATCAGAGAGCTATTCATTGACAAATACTAATAAAGTATTGAGTATCGAGATACTCAATACTTTATTGCTTTCCACAAAGTGAACATAATAAGGTAGATGCCTAATAATGTCCGTCTGGTTGATTATTTTAAATCATTAGGCACGTATTTTTTATTTTTTTTACAAAAACGAATACTTTCGATGATAATATATTGATTTGAAATGTCGCGTGACGTCGTAGGGTCTTCTCTGCGTCTCCGCCTGGGGGCGCGAGGTCGCGCGATCCAGGCCGATACTTGTTTCGGCGGATGCACTCGCTGCCTGCTACAGCAGTTGAGGGGTTGGATTAGTCGGGCTCCTTGCGGGGCCCGATTCGGTGTCGAGTTCGGTGGTTTGCCCCGCCATCGGCCGCGCTCTAGCCGGGCAAGCCCACTTTTGTAACCCACAGCTGTCATAAGAACAGAACTGAAAAGTCCTAAAAATTATTAAACGATCGTCATCATTAGGTATATCTGAATCATTGTCATTGGTTGCGGGAATAATCCACACAAATTGACATCTTTATCTTTTAGAATAAAAAACTAACTATAAAAATGTTGTTTCTCTATTTTCCAGCCAGATTACACCGGCTATGATATCATAGACTACCTGGACACGTGGAAAGGCATGGAAGAAGTGAAGAGGCTAGGTCTAGCCCGGTCTATTGGCATATCCAACTTTAACGTCAGTCAGATCCAGCGGCTACTGGCTAACTGTGAGATTAAACCCACTGTTTTGCAGGTCGAGGTAAGGGTCAATTTGATATTGTATTCCAAATAATAGAATAGACATGAAGAGAAAACGTCATCATCATCATCGGTGATCGCGGGCTGAGCTGGTCAATCTACTCGGAAATCATTGAATTCTCGGCTTTAGTTTTATCAAAAGGATATTGTGAAAATGAGTTTAAGTGTGGGAGAGCCATATATATATATTTGATGGGCCGACGTATGACCACTATGTCGGCTGGTGGTAAGCGATGATGCGGTCTACGATGGAGCACGTCGTCCCATAAGCAACCTATTCACTCGGGCCTTGAAGACCCTTCAGGAAACACAGACTCTGGTAACGATTTCCACTCTCAAGGAAGCGTGATGCGAAGCGCTTCGTGCGTGTGGGTGGGACACCTACCATGAATCGGTGACGCTTAGCTGATTGTCTTGTGGTACGATGATGAACTAGGGGGAATCAAGCTATGCAATTGCATTGCTGAACATAGGCCTCTCCCAATGACTTCCACTAGATAGGCCGGTTACAAGCGACCTGCTTACAGCGGCTCCACAACCTTTATCAAGTTACTTGTAAATGTCTTGCACTGCTGGGGAAAATTAGCCTATTGGAGAAATGTTCGCAAGTGTACCGAACAAGTGATTTTGGGTTCGATACCCGGGTGAGACAAAGAATTATTGGGGATTTTTCTTTCAGTTTTTCAGAGGAGTCTGGAATTGTTCTAATGTATGGCAATGGACAGTCCTAATTATATGGGATGGGTTCCATAACGAAAGTAATGCAAGGTACCTTTGGGAATTAAAAACCATAATATTTCAAAGATCGACATTAAAAAACTATCTTTTCTCTCATCCAGGTAAATTTGAACCTCGCTCAAAATAAACTGGTAGACTATTGCAAGAGTCAGGATATAGTGGTGATGGCGTACGCTCCGTTCGGTTCCCTGTTCAGCAGGGACCCCCCGCCAAGACCCCCAGCCCCTAGGTACAACGACCCCATATTGGTGGAAATGGCCAATAAACATAATAAGACCACCCCACAAATTGTACTGAGATATTTGGTAAGATCTTTTTATATTATAGTTGAAGTTTGATTTTCAGGCTATGAAAAAATCAGACTTCGATTTGAATTCGAAAGAGGTTATAGTAGTAGTTTAAAAAACGTTGCCCCACACTAGGATTTTCTCCTGTGTCGTAGGTACGTTTACAAACATACAAGTTCACATACACACATGACACCCAGATCCGGCACAACAATCTGTGGATTACTCAAAGAGTGGTTCCGTGCGGGAATCCAACCTGCGACACGTTTCGCGGCCGCCGGTTGGTTGCCCTATCACCGCGCCAACTGTGCAGCGAAACGTAGTATTCTGAAACTACTCTATTCAAATTGAAAGTGGGTTTCATTCTCACCCGTCATTGGTCGAGTTTCGACCAATTACGTGGATAGCAATCGAGTTCACTTCGATCTTTTGAATTTAATTTTACACAATAGCCTACCAATACATGGCAATACGCAATAGACCTTTATTTGGAACTTTGTATTTCATAAAAATAATTGAAGTAGAGTCGCGGAGAACCTAACGGGTTACCGGGGCTCCGGCTCGACGTGCAGTAGAAGGAACGGGGTGGTTTTTAGTCAGTAAGAGTCTGACACTCCGTTCCGCCTTACCCAGGCGGGAGCAGTCATTCGATGATTTTCCCCCTTAAAAAAAAGCGCTTGTCTACAGAGAGAGTAGAAATCAAAATATATGTGGATGACACTGACAAGTGTCAAAATTTACGTCAATCCCATATAGTTTGGTTTTCTACTCTACAAGTAGACAAGCGCTAAATGGCATTTGGCTACAGCTGCTGGGTACATAGTTTCATTTGTTACATTTTGCTGTAGAAAAGAAAACCTTTCATACGTTTACCATTTCCAGGTACAAAGAGGTCTAGTCCCTATACCGAAGTCAGTAAAAAGACCCAGGATACAACAGAACATACAGATATTTGACTTCCAACTAACTGAGGAAGAAATACAGACTTTGAGTAAGTAGTCAAAGTCAGCTGTTGATCTAAATGTCAGCAGTTGATCTAAATGTCAGCAGTTGATCTAAATGTCAGCCAAATTTAGTTGAATACTCTAAACTCTAAAGTCATTGGTGACAGATGATTAAGATTGCCTGTTTTAGTTTTAGCACTAATTTGATAGGTACTACATCAGAGCCT